TACAAACTGCAAAAAAATATATTTTTCGAAAACCCATATGACCTGCTCTTTAACCTTTCAGTCCCCAGACCCAAACTTTAATCACTAAGCTACACAAATGTACTTTGTTTGCTAGCTAAAATTAAAAAAGAAAAAAAATATCATACAAAACTGCTACCAAAACCCACATGGGAAGAAAAAAAAAAAGATTAATTAATAGCACAAGCTATGTATTTATTACTATGTACGTATAGGCTAAAGACCAGTAAAAAGTTTGGAATAATTGTTTTAGTTTTTTTTTTTTTTAAAGAAGTCTCTTGCAAACAGTAATATTGTGAAAACTTATTTAAATTTAAAATAACTCTTTTCTATTTGTTGCAACTGTTCAACATTGCATAAGAATCATCATTAATATTTGCAGACCAATAATAACTGATACTAATTGAGCACCAAATCAAGCATATTAGAATGATTTGTGAAGGATCATATGACACTGAAGACTGGATTAATGACTGCTGAAAATTCAGCTTTGCCATCAAGGGAAAAAATATGTTTTAAAATGTATTAAAATAGACATTTCTTATTTTAAATGGTAATAATATTTTACATTATTGCTGTTTTTACAGTATTTTTGATCGAATAAATGGTGAGCTTTAGTGAGCATTACAGACATATTTCAAATATATATGTATATATATATATATATATATATAGTAATATCTAAATAAATAAATAATAAAAAACTCAAATATTGTCCATATATTTAGCCTATAATGCACAGTGAGTCGGACCTACATGAATGGAATGTCACAGAGGTTCGTAAAGGGTCTGCGCATGCACGCGACAAAATGAAGCCTGGTTTATGACAGTATGTGTTGTACAGTACCGTCTCTGGATTTTTGAGGCCCACAATGAAAAAGGGGGTTCTTCTCACCGGTCTGACATTTGACTCGGTTCTAAATTAAGCAGACTATGCTCACTCTTCAAAATGTTTTAACAGTCATGTGTAAACTAATGCTGAGCATTAGTCAGTAAGCAGGTTTTTTACCAGCAGCAAATGTGGGCGGTACCTGCATTATAGATTGTACAATGTTGTCGACCAATAGGTGTGTGTATGCAGGGCTCGCAAAATCGCTAGCCCAACGTCTGCCTGCCCTGTCCGACGGGCTATCTTGAACAGTGATATAAAATTCCTTCCTTGATTTGCCTTGTTCACTAGCTTGTAGGGTAAAACTGATCGTAGTTGATCATTTGCAGGTGTTTTTAAGTCTTGCCGATTTAAACATTCAAGTGTTTTAAACCATTCACACGCATTCTGAGCTGCGGCCCTCATTCAAAGCGTGCACAGAGAGCCGCGTTTCAAACAATGTGCGTACACAGAATTGATTCCTCTTTCACATATCCTTGCATCTGAATGAACACATACACACAAAATTATCTCAAAATAACGGTCTCGGCAAGTATTCTCGTAAACACAGTCGGTTATGTCTTAAGTGAACGTAAACAGTGATGAAAGAAATCTCAAGTGCATCATTATATTGGATCCGTGCATTCGGTCTTAAAGGGACAGCAGCCTATAAATACCTGCTGTTCCATAAGCGCCACCTGCTGTCAGAGAGTGACATTTGCGTCTTAGGGTGCTTTCACACCTGGCCTGTTGTTTTCGGAACCTGGCGCGTTTCCCCCCTTAGCTCGGTTCGCTTGGGCATATGTGAACACGGCAATCACGTTCGGATCCGCACCAAAACAATCGGTCCGAGATCGCCTGAACGAGGTGGTCTCGGCTAGATTGAAAATGAACTCTGGAGCGGTTCGGTTGTAGTGAGAAAGCAATTCGATCCAACGGACCAGGCTATATCACAATTTATGATGGGTAATTACGTAAGTTCCGTGAAAAGCATTAGCTTTGTTGTTTTGCTAATACCGCTAAATGAACCTGTTAATGTCTGTGGTGAGCACGTCTTTGCCATTCAAAAATCAAAGCGCACTTTTATTTTATAATGCCGTCTTATTGCTCTTCTTTGTAGTAGGTGCATTTTAAAAATGTTTTCCCAATCAATCCTGGACTCCTGCTCAAAATGATAAATTATTATTAACAACAGCTACAAAAAACCCAACAATAAGCCCACAAAGCTGTTATTGTTCCATCCTGACAGATGACAGCCGTGACAGCTAGTGGAATCCCGGAAAATAAACCGTGAAACTTTGACCAATGAGAGAACAGTTTACTCGTGCGTGACTTGTATTAACAAATTTGGTCCGTTTAGAAACTTTGCCGTTTGAAAGCGAACCGCACCAAGAATAAAAAGCAACATTGTAATAATTTTAATCCCTGTTTCGGAACAAAGCAATCGATCTACAGGTGTGAAAGCACCCTTATTCACAAAGCTAAAATCAGACCATTCTGTTTTTGCTTCAAATTTCGAAATTATACAATCTAATTGCAATCTAAATAACATGAATTTAGCATATTTGTTTGGATCGTGATTAAAATGCAGTGGTTGCCTCTGATTTTAAATGGAAACAGCACAGCCAAAGCATTAGTTTGTTTATATGAAGAGATTTGTTTTATTTGTATTATTTAATTAGGTATTTGTTTAAAAATATCAAGTTAGTTTTATTATTTGACAGTTCAATTTCACAAAGAAATGTGCAGCATTTTGTTGGAGAAATTATAAAAGGACACCTTTTCATTTATAATTTGTCTTTAGAAAATTGTATTGTGAAATCAGTATCGTGAATCGCATCGTGACTTGAGTGAATCGTTACATCCCTATATGCTACTATTTTTGCTGTGTTATCAAAGAAGTATTCTGTTATTTAAATAATAAAGAACCTTTTTTTTTTTCTCATCTGCAAAATGATCCGATCTGTTACTCAAAATCTGATGTGATAATGCAATATGATCCGAGCCGTGGGTTTTGTGATCCGTTGCACCTCTACTCTCTTGACATGTTATTTGAAGAAAAAAAAGCAATCACTGAAGTTTTTAATCAAGCTGATTTGTCCGCAGTGAAGTTCAGTCGATGTCTTTTTTTTATTTGGGCTACTTAAATTCATTTTGGGCTACCAAAATCTGAAGAATGTCTGTCCGAAGGGCTACCAGCGATTTTGAAATTTTGCGAGCCCTGGTATGTATGTATGTATTAGGGCTGGACAATAATTCGATATCAATATGTATCGCGATATAATTTTTTTCAATAACGGTGATATGATTTTTAAACACATTTCCGATATTTCGATATACATTACCAGTTGTATCACTCTAAAAGCGCCTCCTGCTGGCAGAGAATGAGTTTTCATTTTAAATAAGCCCCCGTAAATGGCGCATCATGCACGTGAGGTTATCTGACGGAGAGACGCAAAGCAGTTTAAAGCAGAGTCCTGCACGGGTGCTGTTAGGTAAACCTGCATCTGAAGTACACAACAGAACACCCGACCCGTTATCCGACAGCAGCCAGCACCAATTTAATTCTGTACCCGACCCGTTTGACATAAAGACCGCGATCTGAACCGCACCCGCGCTGTTCTGAGTGGAACCTGTCCTGTTAAACTGCTGTATGGTCTTGGCCACCGTGCCGCAGCTCAGTTTTAGGGTCTTGGCAATCTTCCTATAGCCTACGCCAGGGGTGCCCAACCCTGCTCCTGGCGATCGACTGTCCTGCAAAGTTTAGCTCCAACTCTAATCAAACACACCTGCCTTTAATGTTTAAGTGATCCTGAAGACCTTAATTAGTTGCTTCAGGTGTGTTTGATTAGGGTTGGAGCTGAACTTTGCAGGACAGTCATTAACTACGCCATCTTTATGTAGAGCAACAATTTTTTTTTTCAGATCCTCAGAGAGTTCTTTGCCATGAGGTGCCATGTTGAACTTCCAGTGACCAGTACGAGAGAGTGAGAGCGATAACACCAAATTTAACACACCTGCTCCCCATTCACTCCTGAGACCTTGTAACACTAATGAGTCACACGACACCGGGAGAGAAAATGGCTAATTGGGCCCAATTTGGACATTTTCACTTAGGGGTGTACTCACTTTTGTGGCCAGCGGTTTAGACATTAATGGCTGTGTGCAGAGTTATTTTGAGGGGACAGCAAATTTACACTGTTGTACAAGCTGTACGCTCACTACTTTACATTGTAGCAAAGTGTCATTTCTTCAGTGTTTTCACATGAAAAGATATAATAAAATATTTACAAAAATGTGAGGGGTGTACTCACTTCTGTGAGATACTGTATATATATGTATGTATGAATGTATGTGTGACTGTGTATATATATATATTCAAAAATATCAGATATTGAGAATATTAAAGAAGAAAAAGAAAAGGCTGTCATTACTGAAGGAGCGTTACTGCACGTGTTCGTGCTTATCAGCAGAATGGTTGTTGCCAGAGTAATTTTGCTGCTTTGTGGCAGTCTGAAATGCAAACTATATGTAATGTACAACTATTTGGCAAATACTTAAATGCTATGTGTCAACTGGATATTTATGTGAGTGGCAATAAACTTTCTCGACATATTCCGAATTTCAGTAAGGTAGTGAAACTGTTAAATATGCTCATTGCGAGAGAGAGTGAGCGAGTGAGAGAGAGAGAGAGAGAGAGAGAGAGAGAGAGAGAGAGAGAGGAAGTTGGGA